TAAAAGAATATTGGGGACGCCTGGTGTTTGCATTTTGAAGTTTGTACTTAGTTTGGAAGAGTCTCAGGGACCCCTTTTGCTGTTTTTGAAGTAGTATGAAAGAATCTCGGGGACCCCTTTTGTCTGGTTTTCGAAGTATGTAGTTTAAAAGAATCTCGGGGACCCGTTTTGTTTTGTTTTTGAAGTAGTTTGAAAGAATCTCGAGGACGCCTTTTGTTCTGTTTTTAAAGTGGTTTGAAAGAATCTCAGGGAGTTTTTGTGTATTGTTTATGAAGTTGTTTGAATGAATCTCGAGGACCCCTTTTGTTTTGTTTTTGAAGTAGTTTGAAGAATCTTGAATATCTATTTTGTTTTGTTTTTCAAATAGTTTGAAGAATGTCGTGGTCCTCTTGTGTGTGTGTGTTTTTACTTCCCGAGCGTAAGCAAAGGAAGTATTGTAATCGAGTCCGTCGGCCGACTCTCTACTTTTACGTTTTCTCGATCTTTCATGACCCCTAGAAGACGAAGAAATAGGTCTCCCATTTCCGTCTGTCTGTCCGTCTGTCCGTCTGTCCGTCTGTCCGTCCGTCTGTCCGTCTGTCCGTCTGTCCGTCTGTCCGTCCGTCTGTCCGTCTGTCCGTCCGTCTGTCCGTCTGTCCGTCTGTTGTCCCGGATTTTTATTAGACAGATAATCTCCGAAAGTACTCGACCGATTGTTGTGAAATTTTGTACTTATATTAAGAATATCATGTAGATGGTAAAACGCTAACCAAAATTTGTCTAATCATCCCCACCACTAATGCGATGACGTCACTTCAAAATTGTACATAGTAAATGGGTTTTCAATTGTATAAAATAACATAGTCCTACACATGTAGTTTACAACTCTGAATCGACTTTTCACCCGAAACGTCCAGATTTTTGGAAAAAAAATCAAAATTATAAAACAATATTTTGAAATTTAATTTTTAATCTGCTAACCAGAATGCTTTGAAATGTTGCAGATGTTTTAAGGCTATAAAGAGCATCATAAATCTTTAGTCAAAAAATATTTGCTTATACCCTCCAAAAACTTGATGACGTCAGCTCAAAAGTTTGTGGAATAAATCATATCTAAAATGTACAAAATATGATGAGTCTGTACTTGTGATCTATCACTCCATTCATATTTTTTGGATTTGCATATACAGGGTGACTCAAAAAAATTAATGAATGCGTAAATATATTTTATTGATTTAATCAGAAACTACAAAACCGAATGCTCTGAAATCTTGCAGATGTTTGAAGGCTATAAAGAGCATCATAAATCTTTAGTCAAAAAATATTTGCTTATCCCCTCCAAAAACTTGATGACGTCAGCTCAAAAGTTTGTGGAATAAATCATATCTAAAATGTACAAAATATGATGAGTCTGTACTTGTGATCTATCACTCCATTCATATTTTTTGGATTTGCATATACAGGGTGACTCAAAAAAATTAATGAATGCGTAAATATATTTTATTGATTTAATCAGGAACTACAAAACCGAATGCTCTGAAATCTTGCAGATGTTTTAAGGTCATAAAGAGCATAATAAATGTTTAGTCAAAATATATTTGCTTATCCCCTCCAAAAACTTGATGACGTCAGCTCGAAAGTTTGCCGAATAAATCATATCTAAAATGTACAAAATATGATGAGCCTGTACTTGTCATTTATCACTCCATTCATATTTTTTGGATTTGCATATACAGAGTGACTCAAAAAAATTAATGAATGCGTAAATATATTTTATTGATTTAATCAGGAACTACAAAACGGAGTGCTCTGACATCTTGAGATGCTTTAAGGTTATAAAGAGCATAATAAATGTTTAGTCAAAATATATTTGCTTATCCCCTCCAAAAACTTGATGACGTCAGCTCGAAAATTTGCCGAATAAATCATATCTAAAATGTACAAAATATGATCAGTCTGTACTTGTGATCTATCACTCCATTAATATTTTTTGGATTTGCATATACAGGGTGATTCAAGAAAATAAATGAAAGCGTAAATTTATTTTACTGATTTACTCAGGAACTACAAAACCGAATGCTTCGAAATCTTGAAGATATTTTAAAATTATCATAAGCATGGTAAATTTTTGGTCAAAACGTATTTGGTCGTCCCCCCTAAAAAATTTATGATGTCACCACAAAATTTTGCTGAATAAATCCTATCTAAAATGTACAAAATATGGTGAGTCTCTTCTTGTGATTTATCATTCCATTCAAATTTTTTTGATTTGCATATACAGGGTGACTCAAAAAAATTAATGAATGCGCAAATTTATTTTATTGATTTAATCAGGAACTACAAAACCGAATGCTTTGAAATCTGCTGCGAAAAAAAAAACATAATAGGCATGCAGTCGTCACGTTTCCGACAGCGAGGGAAGTACTGTCTAAACTCTTTAGACCAATTTTTTTTAAGTAGTTTGAAACAATCTCGGGGAGCGCTTGTGGATGGTTTTTGAAGTAATTTGACCCCTTTTGTTTGTTTTTAAAATAATTTGAAAGAATCTTGGAGAATTTTTGGTGTTGTTTTTGAAGTACTTTGAAAGAATCTCGAGCACCCCTTGATTTTGGGTTCCGAATTATTTAGTTTGAAAAAATTTCGGAGATCCCTTATCTTGTTTTTGAAGTAATAAAAAATAATAAAATAATAAAAATCTTGAGGGCTATTGTTTTTAAAGTAATTTGGAAGAATCTTCGCGTATGAAAAATTTTTAAATTTTAGATTTTTCAGTTTTTTAAAATTTCGATTCCTCGACCTTTCGATTTTTCGACTTTTCGATTTTAGATTTTTCTGTTTTCTATTTTTACAATTTATTATGTGCGATTTTTTAATTTTCTGATTTTTCGATTTTTCAGTTTCTCGATTTATCGAAATTTCCGTATTTTGATCTTTTGATTGTTCAATTTCTTGATTTATCATCATCTCTTTTAAAATCATCAAATTTTTGAATTTTTTTAAATATAACTTTTTCAGTTCTAAATTTTATGCTTTTCAGTTATGGGCTATTTGGATTTCTTACTTTTTCGAATTTTCGACTTTTCGATTTCTCGATGTTTCTCAATTGAAGAATCCATAAATTGAAAAATCCCAAAACCAAAACATCGAAAAATTAAGACATGCAAAACCCAATAAGTCGAAAGATAAAATTGAAGTAGCGATTTTTCACTTTTTCGATTCTTCAATTTTCTGATATTTTAATTTTTCAACTATTAGATTTCTCGATTTCTCGATATTTCAGTTCTTTGATAGTTCTATTTGATATTCGAATTTTTAAATTTTAGATTTTTCAGTTTTTTGATATTTTTTTCGATTTTACGACTTCTGGGTTTTAGATTTTTTTCGAAGTATGTAGTTTGAAATAATCTCGGTTATCACGTGTGTTTTGGTTTTAAATTATTTGTTTTGAAAGAATTTCGGAAATCCCTTATCTTGTTTTTGAAGTAAGTAAAACTAATCTTTAAAACTATTGTTTTTGAAGCAATTTGGAAGAATCGTCGGACTTCCGTGATTTAAAAATATAGAAAATTTGGATTCACTGAAAATTCCCGATTTCCAGATGGTCCCATCCGCTCCTGCCCGTCGTATATATTTGAAAGTGGAATCAAAAACATAGTTCCGATAAACTAATTAAATCTGTAGAATACAAGAATATTGAGAATACAATTAATGAAAAAGAAATAATTAAATTCAGTAAATAAAAGGTTGTGAAACAAGTTTCTACAACTTGGTGTAACCCTCCCACACAGTTCGTTTAATTGGTTCAGGTATATTTAATAATTACTTCATTTCTATCCTTACAATGGAAGTTTTAAATTTGGGTTAAGGTTGTAATTACCAAACCCCAAACGCTGGATGCTTTAGTTCGATTCTCAAGTAAGAAAAATGTTTTTTTTAACTTGAACTATCAAAACTGTTTAAAATATATTCTAGATTTTACACACATAATTAATTTTCTTAAAAACTACCGCATTTATGATAGCACAGCAGGAAGATTTTATTATGATTCCAATAAAAATAAATTATCGCCTTTGCTAGTCTTAAATTTATATCACATAAAATGTGTTTCTAACAGAAAAACTTGACATTCGCACACTGATGAGAGTGTCGTGGCAGCCAGGACACTACGTCCAAGTATTGCTCAAAAACGACCTTGAACTTATTTTAAAATACGCAAATGTACAATACAGTTAAAAAAATTAAACTGAGTTGTGTTCTACAAAACGGCTAGATAGAATCACGGAAACGGAGACCTACTTTTTCTCGTTCTAGGAGCTGCGAAAACAGATAAAACATGAACTGGCGAAATAAAAATTCTAGGTGTATTCTTAAACATGTCACATTTTTCTACACCGGTGTCAAATTAAATTAAACTTCACGTATAAGATAAAACAGACGACTACATTACAGGTTTCCGACCACTGTGTAAATAAATAATCATGATTTCGCATTCTGGCGCAACATTTTTGGGACGAAATGGGCTTAAACGGTAAAAGTTCTTAATAAAAAAAGGCTTTAATGTGTTTGGTGACAGTCTGCAACACTGTGTGTGAAGTTGTAATAAACAGTCCCAGAAATATTTAAAAGTGAAAAAACACCAAACAAACTACTACATAAATTAGCGGAGAACCTTAATTTAGAATTATACAGGTGGAATTTTTTGTTGAATGAGTAATTAACGGAATTTTATACACTAATAGGTACTCTTGTCTAAATTTAAATTTCCAGTGCCACTTTAACGATATTTTGCAAGGTGCGATCACTTCGAAAGCTCGTTATTTTCCTAATTTGAAAGCTCCCTCGAGTCAAACCCGCCGCTTTTTATCGGTTGGGTAAATATTTGGTCTGTTCCGCAAGCTTTTTCGACTTTTTACTGTAGGAAGTGGTGAAGAAGTCCGATGCGTCGATCAGCAACGGCCGAGAGCAATTATCTCCGGTGGTATCAACGCTATCGCTCTTCGGCCGCTGTTTGGTTTCTTTACCTTATCTACATTCCTCTGGTAGAGCCGGCTTCCTCACCATTAGATCAGCGATTGTTGTAAGAATCCACATACCACAATCACATCATTAGCACAAAAATCCCCTTTTGGTGGTTCCGCCGTTCTATTTAGGTCCAGCCGGAGTAACTCTATTATTACTCTTGACCACGGTACGATTCTTTAAAACGTGGTTTATTTTAAAACCGAGCAAACGAGCGGTTTAACACACAAGAGCACACGCACAACGCCATTACTGAGCACCGGTTGACCACTGGAAGTTAGCTTGATGGACTGGCATTCACCTGAGAATTTAAAACGCTGTGTATACCGAGCGCTCTCGCCAATGATACTGCGGCTTTTCACGGTTATAGTTTTCCTACCGCGTGCATACTACGGGATGGGGCTATTTTTAGGCCAAGGTTTTGGAAAAGTCTTTGAGTTTGTGTTGGTAATTAGCGCGGTTTGTGATTTTTCGATTAAACAAGTGATGGCTTGTTTCGGGAAGAGCGATGAAGAGCGGACAAGAGTAGGCAATCAACATTGCTCGAGCTGGGTAATAACCTTGAGGAAGGGGGATTTTACAGACAAGAATTAAGAGCATTCCTTAGGTGGCAGGCGGATTGAAAGACGGCGATGGGAAAATGAACTGTTGTTGAAGCTTTTCGGACGTTCTAAGGCCAAATGAAAACAAAAAGATTTTTAACAAAGCAATTTTTAATAAAAAAGACAATAAAATTCCATCAAATTGTTTACTATATTATTATTCATACGTACCGAGTGTCTCAGATTTTATTATGGAGACAACAACTCCCTTCGTAGTTTTAAGGGAAGTCCCTAGAGGAGGTGCAATTTTTATTCCTAAAATTTTGATGAACAATGTACCATGTTTCTGATTACATAAAACGTTTGTACGGAATCTTTATCTTTTAATTTTTTTTGCCAGAAATCAAGATATCAAGGGTAAAAACTGGACGGGAACTCATAGACCACAACTGCATGAGTATAAATAATATTATACAATTTTTTTTTCCAAAAATCTAGATGTCTAGGATAAGAACTCAGCACGGATTATAAACCACAAGTGCAGGTGTGTGTTATTCTATAAACTTTAAATAACATTTATTCGGCAAAATTTTGTGATGAGGTCATTAATTTTTTGTATTCTGCAGATCCGGAAGAGCTGACGAAGATGAGAAAATCTTAAAATTCAGGAGATGCCTCCACAGATTCAAAGATTCCAGAAGTATCTGTATAATCCTTGAATACTTCTAGTTTCTAGAAATGTCTGAGATTTTAAAGATTCTTAAAACATACAGGAGATATGTTGATGAATTTTTCACATACGGAAACATTGCAGGATGTGTATGATTTTAAGTCCTAAAATTTTCTAAAAATACCTGAAATTATAGAGAATCCTTATCTATGATCTCAGAAATTGTAAATATTTTTCAATTTTTTTTGCTTTTAAATCCCTATGGTTCTAAATAGAAATCATCAACAAGCTTCCAAAAATTTCACAAGTTCTAAAAATTTCAAACATTTCAAAACGTGCCGAGAGATATTCTAAAACTCTGAAAATTTTGAAGATTCTGAAGATCTTGAAGAGCTGACGAAAACAAGTAAGTAGAATTTCCAAAAATTCAGGAAATTCAGGTTTCTAGAAGTCTGAGGTTTTAGAGATTCTTGAAACAAAAAATTTTTAAACTGGGGGTTGAAGGGTGTCCCACATACAGAAAAAGTTCTAGGATCCCTGATTTTAAGTTTAAAAACATTGAAGAAATCTTCAAAATTGTAGAGAATCTCTATCTATGACCATAGAAATTGTAAACATACTTCAAATTTTAGACATTCAGAAATCCAATGTTACCTAAATTCCTAGAGTTAACAATTTGTGTAGTAATGTTACAAATTTCCAAGGTAAAACAGATTCTTGTTCTATTTATTTTAGAAAAAAAAGGTTTTAAGGTCGTATATATAGTTTTAGATCATAAAAATAATGGACAAGCTTCCTAGAATTCCAGAAGTTCTAAAAAGTTTCAAATATTTGTAAATATGACTAAAGACCATGGTAGACATTCTGGAGATTCAAAGACTCTGAAAATTTTGAAGATTCGGAAGATCTTGAAGGCTGACGAAGACAAGAAGTAAGAAGGAGGTCCTAAAATTCAAAAGATATTTCTACAGTATGTCCCTGTGATTCTAAGACTTAAAATTTTCTAAAAATTTCTGAAATTGTAGAGATTCTATATCTATGACTATAGAAATTATAAATATTCCTTAAATTCTGAACATTCTCAAATCTGAAGTACTATAAATTTATAGAAATCACGAATTGTGGAGAAATGCTGTAAATTCCCGTGATTCGAACGATTCTGGTTCTAATTTTTCTAGAGATTGGTTTTAAGTTCCTATAGATCTAGATAATAGAAATCGTGGGCAGGCTTCAAAAAATTAAAAAGTCCTGAAAATTCCAGACATTTGTGAACGTGCCTAGAGGCCAATCTAGACGTTCTAGATATTCTAAAACTCTGAAAAATTTAAAGATTCTGAAGATCTTGAAGAGCTGACGAAAACAAGAAAAATTTCCAAAAATTCGGGAAATTCAGGTTTCTAGAAGTCTGAGGTTTTCGAGATTCTTGAAACAAAAAATTTTTAAACTGGGGGTCGAAGGGTTTTCCACATACAGAAAAAATTCTAGGATCCCTAATTTTAAGTTTAAAAATATTGTATAAATCTTCAATATTGTAGAGAATCTCTATCTATCTATGACCATAGAAATTGTAAACATACTTCAAATTTTAGATATTCAGAAACCCAATGTTATTTAAATTCCTAGAGATAACAATTTGTGCAGAAATGTTACAAATTTCCAAGGTAAGAGAGATTCTTGTTGTATTTATTTTAGAAAAAAAAGGTTTTAAGGTCGTATATATAGTTTTAGATCATAAAAATAATGGACAAGCTTCCTAGAATTCCAGAAGTTCTAAAAAGTTTCAAATATTTGTAAATATGACTAAAGACCATGGTAGACGTTCTGGAGATTCTAAAACTCTGAAAATTTTGAAGATTCGGAAGATCTTGAAGGCTGACGAAGACAAGAAGTAAGAAGAAGGTTCTAAAATTCAAAAGATGCTTCTACAGTATGTCCCTGTGATTCCAAGACTTAAAATTTTCTAAAAATTTCTAAAATTGTAGAGATTCTATATCTATGACTATAGAAATTATAAATATTCTTCAAATTTTGAACATTCTCAAATCCGAAGTACTCTAAACTTATAGAAATCACGAATTGTGGAGAAATGGTGTAAATTCCCGTGATTCGAACGATTCTGGTTCTAATTATTCTAGAGATTGGTTTTAAGTTCCTATAGATCTAGATCATAGAAATCGTGGGCTAGCTTCAAAAAATTAAAAAGTTTTGAGAATTCCAGGCATTTGAAAACGTGCCTAGAGGCCATTCTAGACGTTCTAGATATTCTAAAACTCTGAAAAATTTAAAGAATCTGAAGACCTTGAAGAGCTGACGAAAACAATAAAAATTTCCAAAAATTAGAGGAAATTCAGGTTTCTAGAAGTCTGAGGTTTTAAAGATTCCTGAAACAAAAAATTTTTGAACTGGGGGTTGAAGGGTTTTCCACATACAGAAAAAATTCTAGGATCCCTGATTTTAAATTTAAAAATATTGTAGCAATCTTCAAAATTGTAGAGAATCTCTATCTATGACCATAGAAATTGTAAACATACTTCAAATTTTAGACATTCAGAAATTCAATGTTACTTAAATTCCTAGAGATAACAATTTGTGCAGAAATGTTACAAATTTCCAAGGTAAGAGAGATTCTTGTTCTATTTATTTTAGGAAAAATGGTGTTAAGGTCGTATATATAGTTTTAGATCATAAAAATAATGGACAAGCTTCCTACAATTCCAGAAGTTCCAAAAAGTTTCAAATATATGTAAATATGACTAAAGACCATGGTAGACGTTCTGGAGATTCTAAGACTCTGAAAATTTTCAAGATTCGGAAGATCTTGAAGGCTGAAGAAGACAGAAAGTAAGAAGGAGGTCCTAAAATTCAGAAGATGCTTCTACGGTGTCCCTGTGATTCCAAGACTTAAAATTTTCTAAAAATTTCTGAAATTGTAGAGATATTATATCTATGACTATAGAAATTATAACTATTATTCAAATTTTGAACATTCTCAAATCCGAAGTACTATAAACTTATAGAAATCACGCATTGTGGAGAAATGGTGTAAATTCCCGTGATTCGAACGATTCTGGTTCTAACTATTCTAGAGATTGGTTGTAAGTTCCTATAGATCTAGATAATAGAAATCGTGGGCAGGCTTCAAAAAATTAAAAAGTCCTGAAAATTCCAGATATTTGTAAACGTGCCTAGAGGCCATTCTAGACGTTCTAGATATTCTAAAACTCTGAAAAATTTAAAGATTCTGAACATCTTGAAGAACTGACGAAAACAAGTAGAATTTCCAAAAATTCAGAAAATTCAGGTTTCTAGAAGTCTGAGGTTTTAGAGATTCTTGAAACAAAAAATTTTTAAACTGGGAGTTGAAGGGTTTTCTACATACAGAAAAAATTCTAGGATCCTTGATTTTAAGTTTAAAAATATTGTATAAATCTTCAAAATTGTAGAGAATCTCTATCTATCACCATAGAAATTGTAAACATACTTCAAATTTTAGACATTCTGAAATCCAATGTTACCTAAATTCCTAGAGATAATAATTTGTGCAGAAATGTTACAAATTTCCAAGGTAAGAGAGATTCTTGTTCTATTTATTTTAGAAAAAAAAAAGATTTTAAGGTGGTATGTATAGTTTTAGATCATAAAAATAATGAACAAGCTTCCTAGAATTCCAGAAGTTCTAAAAAGTTTCAAAGGTTTGTAAATATGACTAAAGACCATGGTAGACGTTCTGGAGATTCTAAGACTCTGAAACTTTTGAAGATTCGGAAGATCTTGAAGGCTGACGAAGACAAGAAGTAAGAAGAAGGTCCTAAAATTCAAAAGATGCTTCTACAGTATGTCTCTGTGATTCCAAGACTTAAAATTTTCTAAAAATTTCTGAAATTGTAGAGATATTGTATCTATGACTATTGAAATTATAAATATTCTTCAAATTTTGAACATTCTCAAATCAGAAGTACGATAAACTTACAGAAATCCCGAATTGTGGAGAAATGCTGTAAATTCCCGTGATTCGAACCATTCTGGTTCTAATTATTCTAGAGACTGGTTTTAAAAAATTAAAAAGTCCTGAAAGTTCCAAACATTTGTAAACGCGCCTAGAG